AAAATAATAAATAAATAAATAAATAAATAAGAAAAGACATGGTAGCTATAAAACAGAAGAAGCTAAAAATATCAGACACTTATTTTACTCTTTACTATGTGCCAGGCACTGCTTCTGACTGCATTATATATACTAATTCATTTGGCCCTCCCCCTCTACTACCCTATGAGATATGTGCCGTTATCACCCCCATTTAACGAATGAGAAAATAAAGCACAGAGAGGTTAAATCATTTGTTCAGAATCAGACTAAATGGCAGAACGGGAATTTGACCCACAATGTCTGACTACAGTATCTATGTGCTTAGCCTTATGTGATACTGTTTCATGAGAGCTGAGACATATATAATTTACAAGTGATTAGTATCCAGAATGCAAAAAGATCTAGACATACATAAGAAAAAGACAACCAGCCGGGCTCGGTGGCTCAGCTTGTAATCCCGTGCCTTTGGGAAGGTGAGGTGAGTGGATTGACTGAGCCCGCGAGTTCGAGACCCGCCTGGGCAATTTGGCAAGACCTCATCTCTACAATAAATGAAAAATCAGCCGGGCATGGTATCGCGCGCCTGTAGTTTCAGCTACTTGGAAAGCTGAGGCGGAAGGATCGCCGGAGCCCAGCCGGGAGTGGCCACTGCACTTCAGTCTGGGCGACAGAGTGAGATTCCAATTCAAAAAAAAAAGAAAGAAAAAGAAAAAGACAACCTCCAAAAAGTGAGCAAAGGGCATAAACAGGCCTCTCACAGAAGAGAAAACACAACTGGCCGATAAACATAAGGAAAATCATTCAAACTCTTTAGAAGTCAGTACAAATGAAAACCACAACAAGATGTCATATTACACCGACATATTCAGCAAAAATTAAAGCATAAACTATAAGTATTGGTGAAGATGTCTATTAATCCTAGTGGGAGGCAAACAGTTTGGCATTATAGCACCCAAAATTCTGCTTCTAAGTAAATACATGAGATCTAGGATGGTAGTCATGATTATTAATATGGCACACATGCAATTAAGGCATTTACAAAGCACACACACACAAGTTCAACTTTGATGAACTTATCCAGAACTTCACAAACAGAAAATCTAGCACAGCACAACAGCAACTTTGTATGTAGCTCATTGCAAAAATCTAATAGTGAAGAAACATTCAGACAAATCTAGGCTGTGGTAAACAAAACAACTGGCCTGGATGCCTTAAAAGATTAATGTCAAGAAAGACCAACAACAAAAATCAGGGGAGTGTTTCAGATCTCAAGAGGCTATAGAGGCCAAGTACAATGCATGATCTTTGATTAGAATCTGGATTAAAAAGAAAAGCTTTAAAGGGCATGCATTCATTATTGAGACAATTTGGAAACTGTGAATATGAACTGTATAGTAGATATTATTATTGTATGAAAGTCAAATTTCTTAGATGTGAGAATGATATTGTGGTCACAGAGGAAACTGTCCTTTTTCTTTCTTTTTTTTTTTTGAGTTGGAGTCTCCCTCTGTCGCCCAGGCTGGAGTGCAGTGGCATGCTCCCAGCCACCGCAGCCTCGACCTGCTAGGCTCCGACGATCCTTCTGCCTCAGCCTTCCAAGTAGCTGGAACTACAGGCGCGTGCTACCACGCCTGGCTAGTTTTTGATTTATTGTAGAGATGAGGTCTCGGTAAATTACCCAGGCAGGTCTTGAACCCGTGGACTCAGGCAATCCACTCACCTCGGCCTCCCAAAAGTGCGGGATTACAGGCTGAGCCACCGAGCCCGGCTGTCCTTTTTTTTAAGAAATACATGCTGAAGAATTTAGGAGTGAAACATCACAATGTCTGAAACATATTAACAGGTAGCTCAAGGGCAAAATAGATAAAAGCAAATATTACAAAATATTAAACATCTAGATGCACGGATACTCGTTTTTCTATTCTTTCAACTCTTCGGTAGGTTTGAAGTTTTCCAAAATAACTTACTAGGAGATTTTTTTTTTCAATCTAGGGAGTTTATCTTCAGCTTACTTTTAAATATTGTCCCTTTGAAAACTAAAATTTGATTGGGAATTGCATATGGGGAGTCACCATCAGTAATCTCTTCAGCGTATAGAGCCTCAAGGCCTTAGTCCGCCAGGGTGTCAGAGGAGGAGGGGCGATAAAACATTCACAAACAACCAAATACAGACAGCGTGTGCTAGGAGCCAGGTGAGTAATTAGAATGGCCTCCAAGAGCTCAGAGGGATGAAAAAATCAGTCCTGTTTGGGGCAATCAGAGAAGGCTTTGTGCAAGAATTGGCCCTTATTCTAGACCTGAGGGAAACAGAGAGCTATTACTTCACTTCCAGAGGAGAGTAACTATGCCTTAATTCCAGCCTGTGGTGGCTGAGTGGGGAGATGGGCCCATCTGTGGCCAGATCTTCCTTCCCACTTTTCAAAATAAGCTGGAAATCTAGATTTTAATGTAAAATTTCTTATTTTTAAAAGATGACAGCACTAAACATGGTGCAGGGCAAATAAGATGATCAAATACTTCATCAATATTCAACTTCCCAAGGGCCTCATTTTAAATGTCTGAATAAAATCCAAAGGAAGCCGGGCGCAGTGACTCAGCCTGTAATCCCGCACCTTTGGGAGGCTGAGGTGAGTGGATTGCCTGAGCCC